CGGGCGGCGGCGGCGGCGGCGGTGGCGGCGGCGGTGGCGCCGCGGCGCGGCGGCAAGCAGAGATAACAATTCCATAAGCTCCGCAGGCTGAAAGCGGATTAACACGGCCCCGCAGATTTAAATGCACTTGGTAATTGGATGGGAGTACACTCTATTTCTTTGTGCTGCGAAGCCGGAAGCCTCGTGCTGCACGGCTGCGAGCCCGGTGGTGGGGAGACAGACGGAGGCGCTGGCGGCGGCGGCGGCGGGACAGTGGCGAGGCGGCTGTTTGGGACTTGGGCGGGGCGGCCAACTTGTGGTGATGCGAAGGAAGGAAGGAGCACAGAGCCAAAGGGAGAGAAAGACACAATGCTAAAGAGAAGAGAAGGAGAGAGGCTGGCGAGCAAACAAAACGAATACAACGGAGTTTCGTGTAAGATAGGGAGGGACGAAGGAAAACTGATTGGTCACAGAACAGACCGGAAGAGACTGCGAAGTGTTAAACGTGGTAAATTCAAAAAGAAACAAAAATTGTGAGGAAGAAAGAGTGACTGCCCAGATGAAGTGAGCTCACTAAAGATCTTTTATCTGGGAAAGAGAGATTAAGAATAAGAATAAAGTATATTACTGGAGAGAACGTATTATCTACGTTCCAGAATGTCGTCCTTGTTCAAAGTAAAAGAAAACAAGAGCAAAGAACAAGTGGAAAATAATTGTCACTTAATTTCTGACGCCAGAAAATTATATTGTATGGGGGTGTGGGGGATTTGGAGCTATTATTTGGAGGACAGAAATATCGTCAGGATATTTAAAGATAATTAACCCACTCGTATAGAGAAAAGAAAATGAGGAAAACGAAAATAAGACGAAGTGAGAAAGAGTAGTATTATTCAATAGCAGGAAGAACAGTATCGAAGAATTCGTGCCTCTTAAACATATTCAAAATATGAAATGCACGAAATAAAGTAGGAAACGTCAGTGGAGTGAAAGAAAATACATGCATGATGTAGATTATTTAAAAATATTCAAGGTGAATTTTAAACAAAAATATTAGAAATATTGCACAAAAAAGTAAGTTTCCGACCGGAAAAAATAAAAAATCTAAAGGGAAAAATGGGTTTGAAAGTCTGCTAACAAAAAAATGACAAAAAAAAACAAACAATATTAACGTGAGAACTAGCAGTGAACGTTACAAATGACAGAAAAAAACCAAAAGGGAATTGTAGCATGAACACGTACAAAGAAGAAAAGGGACAAAAGATAAAATGAAAAACAAGATACATACCGTAAGGGAAAATAAAATTTGCTGCCGAAGTTCAGAGAAAAATAGGACAGAAAGAGAAATAAAGACTGTGGAAGATGAAGAATGAAGATAAAAATGTAGAAATATGAGTTCAGCTAAAAGAATGTGGATGAAATAACAAAATGAGAGAGAGAGAGGGAGCGAGAGAGAGGGAGCGAGAGAGAGGGAGCGAGAGAGAGGGAGCGAGAGAGAGGGAGCGAGAGGGAGAGAGAGAGGGAGAGAGAGGGAGAGAGAGAGGGAGAGAGAAAGAGGGAGAGAGTCAGATATTTAACGTAAAGGGATAATAAGAAATACGTATGTGAACATACGTGTGAATGAATGGTTGTATGCGTGCAAAGAAGAATAGATACTGAGAAGTGTGTGTAAACGTCTGCGCACGAGTGCGAAAGCGTACCCACATGTGCGCGTGTGTGCGTGCGGCCTCGCAAGTCGACCAGAGGGCGACTCCGCCCGCAGAGCGCCGCCCGATCGGCGCGCGCGCGAGAGCGTAGCGGAGGGCAGAGAAGGCTGGCGAGAAAGAGACGGAGGGAGAGCGGCATTCATTCAGGATTACGCACCCTGCGTGCCCCGCCCCGGCGCCGCCGCCCCGATGCGGCCAAAGCCCTCTGCTCCCCGCGCACGCCGCCGCCGCCGCATCGGCCCGGTTGCTTCTGCAGAGGCGGGCGCCACCTGCAGTATGAATGCTATTGCCAATTCCGAAAGGCGGCGGCCATTGGCGGCGGTGCTGTACTCGCGTCTCCAAATTGTTGGCGTTGTCATCGCCGTCATTGGCATCACTGGCAACTGTGCTTTAACATCTCTATAATCATCTTCACCTGTATCACCAGACTCCTCATGATCGTCACCATTGTCACTGCCTCATGAATATCACAACCACCACTACCACCACAACCACAACCACAATCACCCCAACCACCGCGTCCACTATCACCACAACAATCACTATCACAACAACGTCAGTATTCACCGCCATAACCATCACCATAACCATAACCACCACCACAACAACCACAATCATCCTATGACCATGGTTTCTCCAGGCTCATTAGCCGTACCTACGACCATTATCATCAACGCAAGCAAATCCCATTGCATTGTATCGGTCGTTTCGACAGAGGCAGTCCCACATTATTACAACTTTCACCACTACAAGTATCATCACGATCACCGCCAAAGCCGTCCTTAGCGACAACGCTGTCTCTAGTACCAACACCGTCAGTATCACTGCCTCCAACACCCCGAACAACACCACAATGCTCAAGATCAATACGTTAAACAAATAAAACAGTTTGCGATATAAAAGAACAATATAATTGTAATTTTATATCAAATATTTTTAAGGAACCATATTTTGAGATAGTATAATAGTTAATGTTTTCAACAGTTGGTTACTATTCAAATTTAGTCTTAATAAAACATACGATCATATTTGTAGAGAATTCGTACTTGAATAATTATCTATAATTAAACAATATCTTACAAGAGAACCAGCACTAGGGTTAACAGAGCGAAGATTTATACTGATTGATAGAAATTTAACGAATTTGTAAACGAAGCGGAAATGCTTCTTCTTTAAACTGAGGTATTATTAATAATGATGAAAACTTTTTTCTGTTAATTTCTTGAATTCACTCATAAACGGGTTAAATAAACGTATAATAGTTATTTAAGACCAAATGCTGATAAAGTTCGCAAAAGTCTTAACTTTTAAACAAATAAATTACTTAATGATAGAAGTTGAAAAATCCATTTTTTTTAGTTCTCGTGTTACGAGAACTGTTTTCATATTATACGGAAATTAATTTAACAAACCAAATTATTAATAAATGGTTTAGATATGTAATTCGTCAATAAAAAAATATTTTTGAGATAATAAGAGAGGAATGCTACCTAAAATACCAAGCTTTAGAAGAGGTGAAGATAAAGAAGTGATGATAATATATTCAAATTCACATTTATGTAGTGATTACGTGATGCGGGCTCCTGGAATAACGTATCTGCCTCCCAAGGAGTCCGGTTTAATCCTCGGCCAATACAAGTGGGATTTATGAAAGGCAAAGCGAGCTCTCTGCAGATTTTCTACGTCTTCAAGTTTCCTCTGCCTCTTATTCCCCCATTTCACCCTCGTCAATAACATCATTCTCGCGCACTATCCCTACTTACTAGTTAATGACTCACGATACTCAAGTACGCACTAGTTAAAAACGTCTCTATGTCCTAATGAATAAATATAAAAAATATAAAGAAAAATAATGATTTTAACATGAAAATACAAATTATTTAAAAAAAATGAAGATTAACTAGTGGTGCTACAACAGGACGTACTATCTTTCATTATTTGTAGCGGCTCCGCAATATTACACTACTTCATGAACTTGCAAATGTGTTTTCAACCAGCGAACATTTTTTTTCGCGTCTAGACTCGAACCAAGGTACACCGGGTTCGAGTGTGCTGTGCGTCTTACTGCTGTACCTCTTAGCACTAAACGAATTAGCCGCTCTGACGTACACACTTATGGAGACGCTTAAGAAGTTAATTGTCTCGACCATTATTTCCAACATGCAATGTTAGAAAATTCAGACAGATCAACGAAAATGAGACCTGACTCATTCTTTAAAGCGAATTTTG